ACAGAGCCAGCACTAGAACCCAGGAAGTCCAGCCCCAGAGCCCTTGCTGTTAAACATCATGTTGTGTTGCCTTTTCTTTACAAAGACTTGAAAGGAGGAAACAGCAACCAGATTTAGTGGAAGAGAATTCTCAGAAAAAGTCACAGTGAAGGGGACACTGGGCCATTTTCTTCTAGACATGAGATCCGCTATTCCAGGACAGAAGACAGTCAAAGAGAAATCCCACTGACCAAACTGGATAGGAATCACCACCAAAGTAGAGGGCATTCAGACCCCTAGCCTCACCCCAGAGTACAGTGATCTACTCCAAGCTTGTGAGTGCACAATTAAGAAAGACAATGGGGCAACAAAACAGTCCTTGCTTTGTTCTTTGTCAGTGGGGGGCCCTAACCAAGAACAATTGTAAGACAAGCCTTCACTTTGTCCATACCTGAATGGGCAAGCAGCAGGTCACATTTACATGAGAAAGAAGCTCTCCAGGAAGATCCAGCAGGAGAGGGTCTGGTGTGCCAGTGAGGACTTGAGCTCTGGGATGACAGCCTGGGCCAGTCACTTAATGTCTTCAGGCTTCAGTTTCCTCTTCTGAAAATGGAGGTAACTACCCCCACCTGGCAAGCTTGTGGCCAAGCAAAGGAGATGCCACATAGGAAGCATTAGCGTAGGCAGAGCCTGGCACAAAGTCAGGTTCAATGAACTGTAGGGCACATTTTTATTATCAGCAGGTCTACTTGATATGGTTTATAATCAGATTGAGGAACAAGCTGAAGTTGAGTTCATTTGAAAGACATGCTGAAGAAGAGATGAAGGCCAGAGAAGCAGAAGACCCTGAGCAGCCCATTTTGATATCTGCTTATGGGTTACATGAGCTAACGTATGAGAAAGTACTCCGTAAGCCTCGGTGCCCTAGGTGGCATCATTGCCCTGTGATTATGCAAGTCTCAGGCAGGGTGGACATGGATGTCCACACACTGCATGCTAGTTAGGCTTTTGTTCCATCCACACGTGAAGGCAAGTGGAGCTTGGTAGCACAGAGCATGCATTGCTGGAGGGGACATGGTCAGTGTAACCTGGGGGTGGGGGGTGGGGTGATCTTACAAATGAGATGACCAAAGGCCATTTGGGACCATGGAGAAACTAACCACTCAGTGCACTAGGAAGATGCCTGGGAGAGGAATCAGAAGACACAGCCCTAGAGCAAGCCTTAGGACTTTGGTTAATACTCTTAACATATTGGGCCTTGGTTTACTTATACTCAGTAGATAAAGCAATCCCTGTTCTGTCTTCTTCCCTGACCCTGGAGGGGATTAAGAAAACAATGGATTAATAAAATAATGGATGTGGATGGAAGCTCTTTGTAAACTCTGTAGTGCAAACATATTGGAGGGGAGGCATGTAGTGATCCATATTTCCACCAAGGACATGAATGAGGAGATAGAAAAAAGGCTCAGAACTTCAAGGAATGAGAGAGGGACTGGACCCTGCCTGGATTGGGAGAGGGACACAATGATCAATACCTTGGAGAGCCAAGGACCAAGGAGTGAAAGGTCAATGAAGACTGGCCTGGATATCAGGAAGCTGCATATGGTAAGAGTGTGGCTTCTTTGGGACTTGACTTGGGTAGAGTAGTCATCCCCAAACCACAGTAAATAGAATCCCAGAAAAGAGATGTGACTATCTGAAGGTCATATAGCAAGTTAGTTGCCAAGCCGGGACTAGAACTCAGGTTTTTCGGTTCCCACTCCCATATCTTAGCTTCTCAAACTGTCTCTCTGTGTAGCACAGAACAGAGGGGGAGGCAGGGTGAGCTTGAGAATGTGATTTCATAGGTAAGAAGACCTCCTAATCCAATAACACCTTCCCCAGCTGCCGAAAGAGGCCCAAAACCCCTCTTTTACTGCCTCGCTCACAGCACTTCAAAAATCTTAAGGTTGGAGAAGTTGCCTAGTCCACCTTCCCTCACAATCTCCCAAGGAAGGGTCTACTGAATACTCTAGTAACGGAGCACTCCTCATCTGACATGTTCCGTGGCAGAAAGTTCTTCATTAAATCAAGCTAACATATTTGTCTTACTGTAGCTTCCTACCATGTGTCCCAGTCACACTGCCCTTAGTCAATACTTCCTGGTCCTCTGCCACAAGACAGCTTTTGAGTCATTGAGGACAGCTCTGTGCCCCTCTCCCCACTTTGATTTTCTAGATTACATCTCCCATCGTTGGTTCTCCAGCCTTCCTCCTCTCCTCTTCCTGGGTCCTCTTGTATGTTCCCCATTTGGTCTTCTCCTGAAAGTGTTATCTAACATCATGTACAATATACCGAGGGCACAGTTATTAGAGCAAGGGGATCCTTTCCTCCATCCTGGGTGCCATAGCTGCACCAATGCATCCTCAGATCACAATGATTTTTCTACATTCACCCTGCAGGCTTCTATTTAATGATGCATTGACTAAGATACCACAAATTTACACAGGCTTTATTGAACCCTACCCTTGCCACGCCTCACACTCTGGTCTCCTATTACTTTTTTTTTTTTTTTTTTAAAGATCTAAGGGCCTCACATTTCATGCTAGGAAATTCACCTCGTTACATTTGACCCATAATTCTGAGCAGTCCAGATTTTTCTGGAACCTGGTTCTGTGCTTTCCTTCTCCCTCTCGGCTTCCTTCCCCCTGCAAAAAGGTCCTTTGCTTCTTCTTCCAAGTCACTGAAGATTCCTCTGGCTCCTCTGTTCCCTGGAATACCTGAGCTCACCCTCCCCCTCACCCCACAAGGTCTATAGGGCATAATAACATGAACCATGCCAATGCCAGAATATTAGACCACTAAAGCAGGAAGCCATTAAATTATAAAAGGCAAAGAGAAAAGGAAGGAGATTATGACAAAGAGTTATGAATAGTAGCCTCGGTGTAATGGGACTATAGGTGACTTTTCCCCATATTTCATTATACTCTTCATCCAATTAATATTTAATGGAGGCCTTATATGTGTATTTTCAAAATTGTTTATGCTGAGTATGTGTTATTTGGAAATCCAGGGGGAAAAAGTGAAAATAAAATGAAAAGAAATTAAGACTTTTCTTAGGTGGACCTGGATGGTTTCATCACTTTTTGGGAAGGGGCATTCAGGCCCTCGCTGCACTTAATTGTCCTGACTTCCACCAGCGTGTCCTCTTCCTGCTCACAGGGCACAGGGAAATCTCAACTGCCTTGTGGGAGCCCAGGCATTCCCTCCCTCCAATCAGTGAGGAACCTTTAGTCTAGGAAGAGATGCGCCCCTGCGAAAGAAACACCAGGACCATAGGGAAGGGGAAGCAGAGACGTGCTTAGTCGTACAGCTCGAAGTCCAGGCTTTCATTTCAGATATCTTCCCCGGTGTTGTTTCTGTCTAAGGGAATGCGTTTAAGGCAGTTTTCCTGCCAATAGGTTTTGAAAAAGGCGCAGAAAGACCGTAACAGCCGTGGCCCTCGTCGGCGCAGAATTCAGTAGGGCCTCCAGGTGGTGAGGAAAACGACCCGGTCAGAAGAATGACCCACTGCCCGGACTTCCCGAGGCCGGACCTGGGATGAAGAACTGCGGTTCGCTCCTTTCGCCCTACTTTCTGAAGGCCAGGGTTAGCCTGGAAGAGTCGGGTCCTGCGCCCTCTGTCGGGGGAGACACCTGGTTCCACTGCGCCGCGTGCAAAGCCTTCCCAGGCTTAGCTGCAAAATCTGACCTGGGCTTATCCTCCTCTGACCAGCAGAGGGCGCGCGCCACCAGTGAGAAGGCAGGTGCCACAGCAAGCAGCCGCTGGGAGCAGCAGGCGTGGAAGTGGGGGGAGGGTTCCCTCTTGAAAATGAGGCAGATCCAGAAAAGATAGCTATGGAGATATGCGGGGTAGATTGTAAGTGAAGATGAGAAAGTCTGAGTGAGGGTAGGATGAGGAAGGGAGCAGAGGCAGGGAAGGGGATGAAATGGGAGTGACCGAGGAAGGGTTGTGATCGGGAAAGATGAGACTAGGTGGGATGGAGGTTGGGATCAGGTGAAGGGTAGGTTGAAGTCTGGCTGAGATGGGGGAAGGTGGAATGCCGGTGCGTGTTGGGACGAAATTGGGGTGGAGTGGAGTGAAGGGGAGGGTGGAAGGCAGGGTAAGGCAGGCTGAGGTGGACTGCAGGGTGGGGGGCAGGGGCTGCATCAAAGGGTTTCTCTCTTAGGGGGGGCCCACCCACCAAGGGCTTCTCGCTCCCCTCCGGTAGCACCCCAGCCTGCTCTGCCCTCATTCTCTCCAGCTCTTCCTCAGCAGGCCTTTCTGCTCAGGCCTGAGCTGGGCATCTCACTTCTTTCTCCCCTGAAGAAAGGTTCTAGTGCAGCAAAGAACGGAGAGAGGAGGCAGCGGGGAGCTTGGGAGCTTTAATGGGTCTGGAAGGGAATCGAAACACACTGAGCCATCCTGCAGGAGAGTGGGGGTGGGTGGCAGGGTCCCAGATGCTACTTAGGTGAGTCATGGGGGACAGTGGCCCTTACCAAGCCCGTTGAGGTGCCCAGGGGGAGAAGATGGACCGAGTGAGGTCTCCACCATACTGGGATCAGGGCAGCTCCGTGGGGAAGAGAAAAAATGAGAAAAGATTTGTAATTCGAAAGAGAAAGGACATAATGGGGTGGCGGGGGCGGCTTGCAGGGGCAAGGCCGAAGTATGGGTGCAGAGGAGAAAAAGACCAGGGAAGCCTGGGAACCCCCTTCAGCGATCTGGAGTCTAAAAGAAGATGGAAGTTAGAGGAAGTGGTGGGTGGGGGAGGGGGGCACAGTCACCCTTCCCTGGGGGTTGAGGTGAGGCGGGGAAAATCCATTAAAGGAAGATTGAGAAGGCTTCAGTACCCTTCCCCCAGGGCTCGGTGCAGGGGATGGAGTCAAATCTGAGGTCAAATGAACAGTGGGGAGGCGTCAGGCCCCCTCCCCAGGACGTGGATGGGAAGGACTGAGCGACGCTCGGGCGTCTGGGAGAGGGTGCGCGGCACCCAGCCGCCCCGTCTAGTGGTAATGGCCCCCCAAGTGCGAGGCGGCGGCCACCGCGCCAAAAGGCCCGGGCGGGGGCTGCAAGCCCGGGCTGGGGTAGAGC